TAAAGGTGAGTGCTTTTTTTCTTTTTGGGACAGTTTATGTTTTGAGTTTAAAATTCAGTCCTGTCTAAAAGGACCATGGTTGTGGGAATGTTATGTTTCCACTTTTGTGATAATTTTGTATGAAGTAAACCAACTAACTTCTCTAGTACGTGTTGCAAAAACTGAAAACAGAGAATAAATAAAAAAATCAGGTGTTGCTAGCCAATGTCAACAAATGGCCAGAGAGATGGTGCTGTGGGACTGCTCCACCAACATTTCTGCACTTGGCTGACAGTAGTTCTCAGGTAAATGTGAATTTTACATGTTGCTTATTGAGGATATTTCCAATTAGCCATCAGGCTGGTGCCCTCTCTCTCTTGCCTCCTCATGTTTATTACATTACCTAAACAGTGACATTAAACTTTCAGGAGAGAAGAATTAAGATCAATCTTATTTTTTGACATGAGCATTCTTGCTTTTTTCTTTAGAAGTCTGATAGGTTTATTTTTTGTGAAGATTATTTGTTCTCTTATTTAAGAGATAAACATTCATAATGCTTTATGCTTCAAAAACTTAGTTTCAGTTAAACATGAGGTAATAGCTGAAGCTGTGGAGCCCTGAAGAAGGGCAAATGATATTAAAGAGGATAAAGGCTTTTACTTTGATAAGTGGAGATGCCTATTAGTACTGTTACAGTTCACTTATTCTTCAGGGTATTTTCTACTATATGAGGTGCTGCGGCAGTGACAGACAATATCAATGATTTGTAGAATCTGAGTTTTTTCCCCATCTGGATAAATTATAGATAAACTATTCTAGGTGGGTATAACAGATGCCCTTCAGATAGGTTTAGAACATCTGCTCTGCAAATGGGCTATGTCAGGAAATCCTTGGAAAAAAAAGTTCTGTTTCACTTGTTCAGTGCTGGTTTCTTAATAGTCTCTGAAATGGAACACTTTCATGAAGCTATTGTTAGACCTTTCTGTAATCTCAAGAAATCCTTCTAGTACAGCAGAGCTTACAATTGATAGTATGTTGTTGCTTCTCTTAGGACAGAAAAAAAAAAAAAAGATAAGGTAGTGTGTGGGGTCTGGTCTTTTGTTAGTCGTTTAAATTGCATAACTTATTCCCTTATCTTATATGAAAAACTATTAATGCAAAGGACTGCTGTGAATAGAAGCAATTTATTAAGTATTGGCATGCTTAGGACGGCTTAATAGACTTAGTGAAATCACCAGGGTTGGCAGCTCTTTTGCCACTGACAGCATTAGGCTTTACTTTAATAAAACCCTTTTAGCTGTTGGCGAGAGGAGATGAAGCAGGCAAAGGAGTTAATAGAGAATAGATGATGAATTGCAAACACAAAATTGGAAATAAAAGTTGTTTTCTAATTATTACTGATTTTTTTTTTTATTTTTTCTCCCTTGGAGATGTTAAGAAGCTGAAACATTTATTAACATAGAATTATATACCTTAAATTACAAAAACTGAATAGGTTTTTTCTACTGAGTTGTGGACTGTTTAAAACTTGATTTCATTACCTCGTAACTGTCTAAAAAGCCAGCTCTGCTAAGCTTTTTGGCTCCAAATATTGTAAAAATTGTTTACCCTTCCAGTTGGCAATCTGCTATCAAAATAAAGAAGGGTGAAGTGTTGGAGCGAAGACCGAAGATTACTACATACTTGACACTGACATCCCTGAGACAGGTATGAACTGTTACCTGTATTGTTATTTCAAGAGTAGGAATATGTACAACTGAGACTTGGACAAACTAAAAGCTTTCTGAAAACAAAGTTAGCTCATCATAATTGGAATTATTTTACCTGTCTACGAGATGGATTTTTACAACTAAAAGATCCTTGTACACCTGAAGAGAAGCAGCTTAGAACTAAGTTGTTGATGCTCATCTCGCATCATAGGGAGGGGACTGGATTGTTAAACTGAGCCAAAATCTGTTAGAGACAGCCTCTTGCTGTGCTGCCACAGGGAAGCAGATGTTTGCAATTAAACCAAATGAGAATATTTGATTTTTTTTTTTTTCCCCCCAGAAAGATT